CACTTCTTGATGACCTTAGAGATACTCACACGCCATTCGCAGTGTCATCAAGCCCACAGTTTTGCCTTTAGAGCCAAAGGACTGTAGCATACAAGGGCTAGACATATATAGCCTTACATGTAATTTGAAGAAGAGGAAAAGAGCTCTTTTGGACTCAATAATCTGGCGGCCAACTTAGAAAACAGAAAGTGAATAAGTCAGTTGTTTGTCCAGATGTTTTCATTTGTGAAAATACACAGAAAAAGTATCTGGATGATTGATGGATTTTTTTTTCCCCCGTTACCTATTTTTTTCCCCCCTTACCTATTAACAATATTAAAATGTTATACTAGCAGGAAAAGTAACACATGAAGTACAGCAGAAAGAGCAGTTCTAGTCATAGCTATGATTCTCACTCATTGTATGGCCTTGAGGAAATTTATTTTATGTCTCTGGGCGGTATTTTCTTTATTTATAAAAACCAAAGGCTTAGCCCCAGCAGTTCCTCTCAGCTCAAGTATTACTGGATTCTGTGAAATATAGCCTTATTTATTGCTCAAATATTATATTCCCTATTTCCTAATGATGAAGATGGTTTTACTCTCACAATGCCTGCTACCTATTGAAGAAATTATATAAAAGGTATTAAATATCAGGTTCTTTTAGTTCATCATTCTTTCAAATGATGACTGCAATTCTATCCATCTATTTGTGCAGAAAGGAAGTGACTATATAGACACAATGAAGTGGAAAGATGAATACTTATCAAGTGAATTAAATTCACTTTGTACTTCCCTTTTCTTTCTTCAAATGTAATTGCCTTAGCACTCTTATTCTACTTTGTCTGTGTAGACTGGCTACAATGCCTGGTGAGACAGCAACCTGTTAGCTTTCCAGAGTACTAGGAACACCTTCCCTTGCATGTAATTTAAACTTCAGCTTCACTATGCACTTGAAACAGCCTATGCATAGAGCAATGGTTCTCACAATGTGGTCCCCAGAAAGCAGCCATGAGTATCATTTGGGAACATAATAGAAATGCACACTCTTGGGTCCCACTCTGGACCTATTAAATGAAAACCTGTTGGGATAGGGCCCAGAATTCTGTAATTTTATTGGGACTTCCAAGTTATTCTGATGCACTCCAGAGTTTCAGAACCTCTCGCATAGCATTTGGAATCTTGCTCTGCTTCTTACTGCGTAGACTTAACTCAGTTATTTTAATTGCTTCAGGAGTAAGTTTCAATACCCATAAACTAGGCAGCTGTAGGAGTGAAATGGAATGTCCCGTTGGCTCTAACTCCAAAATCTGTCTCAACTCTCTCCATTTCTCTTCCTACCTTGAGCCCTAGCCACCAACGTTTCTCACCTAGATATTGACAATGGCCTCCCAGCTGGTGTCTTGCTTTTGTTCTTGGCTTCCAATCATCTATTCGCCAGACTGATCTTTTAAAAGCATGAATCAAATAGACACATACATACCCCTTCTTGAAATCCTCTAATGGCTTCCCATTATACTCAGAATCAAACCTAAGCTCTCTGCCTGGCTTGCAAGGTACTACACAATCTGTCACCTTCCTATGTATGAAACCTTTGTCTCCTACACTGACTTTCTTGCTGCATGTCAAATAGTTTTCTACCTCAGGACCTTTGCACTTTCTTACCATCTTGCCAGGAATATACTTCTCCTTGAAAGCCTGGCTCACTTTCATCCTCCAGGTTTTAGCTCAAAGGGCAATTCTCAGACAAGTTTTCCCTTGTGACCACCTTACCGTATGAAGTCTTTCTCATGCTCTCTGCTACTCTCTATCTACCAACTTAATTATTTTCTTTATAAATCTTACCACAATTGAAATATTGTAGTTCATTTATTTGCTTACGAGTATATTGTCTGTTACCTTCCACTAAAATGTTAGGTCTTTGAAGGCAGCGATTTTTGTCTTGTAGCCCTAGTGCCCAACAGTGCCTCTCACATGCAATATACATTAATTAATATCAATTAATTGTATCAATTAATATTAATTAATTATCAATATAGTGATATATTAAATATTAATGCATATAATTTATATAATTAATATATTGATAATTTATGAGTAATATATTTATATAATATATTAATATATTTAATAATATATTAAAGTCATTTTGGAAAATTTCTACCTTTAGTAACAAAGATCTATAGCATCTATCTCTGAAAACAGATCAATTTTTAGGAAGTTCTTCATGTCCCCCCCCCCAAAAAAAATAGACTCAAAGAGCAGATTAAAACTAGACCACTCTGACCACTAGTACAAGTTATGGCAAAATTAAATTGGGAAGATGTGGTAGAGTAAAAATGTTTTATGTCTGACCCCATTTCTGTTCATACACACCCAACATGAGTAGCACCTGCTAACCTAGAGACACGGACACAGAGCAGCTCCTGTTATCCAGCACACGGAAGGCAGGAGCATTATGGAATCATGCCCAGTAGGCCTTTTGAAGAAGGTAAGATGGTTTTAGAGCAAGAAGAAAAAAAAAAAAACAGTTGCCATTTTGTCAAGCCCGAATAGGAGTTAGCACACCTGTGGTTGTTGAAGTGGAGAGTTGATGAATGGAAATGCAACAACTTGGAACCAGAAAAAAAAAAAAAAAAAAGAGAAACAGGTTCCAAAACTCAAACCCACGGCTTATAATCCCTGAGCGCAGCACATATTAATGTTGTAAGAAATTGTCTTGTCATCAAAGACAGAATGTTCATGGATAAGTGACTGGGGCTACTTTCTCCCCTTTTGTGATCTACACAGTGATTTTAATTATAGTAATTCACTTAAATTGAAGATCTAGGCAGCTGGATATTAGGAATACAGTACTGGGAAAACCCAGACTAGAAAGAGAGGGAAAAAAAAAAACAAAAAAAAACTGACAGCCAAGCACTTATGTATAATTAAACTCTCCTGTGACAATGGAACAATTAGATGATTTCTGTGTCACTGATACGCTAGTTGAGGAAAGACAAAAGGATAAACATAGATGCAATAGCCAAGCGCTATGAAAGTCAACCTATCTGCCAAGTTTCTAACACCAAGCGTGGTTTGACAACTGGGGTTAAGCTGAGTTATCTTCAGAAAGCAGGCAAATTCCATTCTGCTCTCTTCCCCCTGCATGGCTGCAGATAACTCCATTTAACAAGGAAACACTGTTAGAACCTGATTTTCATCTCCAGGGCAGGATGTGTGAAAAAACATTCCCCCCCACAAGGCTGGGGGCCAATGACAAAGTTGATTTTCTCTAACAGTAACTCTGGAGTACTCTCTTCTTCCAGTGTAGGAAACCTCTAACCCACTAGAAAGCACTACGCCAACCCCTGGTCACACAAAATTTCACATCTTTTTAACATACTTAAAGCAGGCATTTCACTTAAAAGACAATCACGAAAGTGAAAATGGCCTTATTCAATTAGTTAAGCAACTCAAATAACATTGGAATGACCACCACTGAATTGAAAAGCCTATTCCATTAGGAAAGAAGAGAACATATTGGCTAATTGCCTGAATATTTTCAGATTGTCCCTACCTGACATATGAAAAATGATTATTACGTGGGTGAAGAAAAGAAACTCTAAATGGTTAAAGATATATGGTAATTGCATCTCACTGGATAAATCTGTAACTTTCTTATGTTTTTCCCCAGTCAGTTAAGTGTGGTGTCCGTGGCCTTTCAACTAATCAAATAAGATAGCAATGGACACAGTTTAAGGAAGATATCAAATATCAGTTCTGTTATTTGGCATGAGTAGATTTAGTTCTCTATTATTCTTGAGGGAAATTGAATGATTAAAGAGAAGTGCAGATTTCTTCAAACAAAATACAGAGGGTTACATGCGAGATGTTGCTAAAGGCTGGCAGATATTGGAACTCTTCGCCCAGCTTTCAATCAAGTTTTTTCCTCTTTTTTTCTTTCAAATTTTAATTTATTTTCCACCTAGCAACACTGATTCCAAACTACTGGAATCACCATTCCCCTAATCAAGCTTTTAAAAAACTTTATGTGATATTTGAACAGAATTCTTTGGCCATATCTTAAAACCAAAGCGCTTTGGAAGAAGATTTGGTAAAATAAATACATTTTTGTGGTATTAGTTATTGCAAGAAATAAGAACATTTAAAGCTTTGGTTACGACTCATCCCTACAGAACTACTCTCATCATTTTAATAGGCATTGTTGTTTATTTAAACCATTCTTAAATAATTAACAATCTATAATATTTGTTTTCTATATCCCAGACAGATGGTATTCAGGCATGCTCCAATTTGGCAGAACTCAATTTGCTTTCAAAATGCCTACCCAATGAAATTATTTTCTGGATTTCAAATCAATATCCTAACAGGATTTCCAAGATGGGCTCGATAATGACCATGTGCTAGAGGTTTTACATTTATATTATGTTTGGATCAATGCTGATGATTTGATTGGAATAGGAGCAGCTGCACATAAAAAGTCTTTGGGGGTGAGAGAGATTTGTCACGTTCCACTCTGATAAGAACTAAATTTGGACAGTGGCATTTCGAAATGTTCATGGTACTACATTAAACTGCTACCAAACAGGAGCAATTACAAAGGATTAACACAAGCCCCAAATCAAAAGTCAAAATTCTAATGAAGAAAAGCATAGAGCTTTACACAAAAATAAATCGGGAGCAGGAATAACAAAACGTTTCCTGTGTCAGGTTAGCACCTTGACGGGAAGAGGAGAAACAGATTTCTTTGCAAGTGTGTTCACACTAATATCCATCCCCCAAACACATCAGCCTAATTTCTTCCTCTCTGCTCTGTCAACATCCTTGTCCCCCGCCCTCACTCTCCACACCCAGAATCATCCCCGGGAATTCTAATTACGTAGCAAACCAAGAGCTTCACCCAGTCCTCTTTTGCACAATCCCGCCCAAGAAGCCTGAATGCAAACCTCCCAGCTTAATGACTGTAATGCCAACAAGTGCTGGAGAGCTACAGATGATAAATTGCAACCACAAACTTACCGTAAAAGGTCAGCTGTCCCCTTGCTACGTTCTTGCCTCTGGAATTCTCAGCCACACATTCATATAAACCAGCATCTTCCTGCTGAAAATTAGGGATTTCAAGAATCCCATTTGACTTGTGTCTTCTGGCTTTCCTCGCTATGGGCTTGCCATCAGCTCTTCGCCAGATAATAGTTGGTACAGGGCTGATAGCGAGAATAAACAGGAGTGAATCAAACGAGAGGAAACTGTATCTTTCATTTGAACTTAGGCTCCCAACAACCACTTCCTACCGCAACTGTGGTTCTAAACATACAAGCTCGCTTGAGACAGTGTTTCCCAAACTTCATTCCTGCCTGTCATCGCTATTATGATTTTAACTATATCCACACCTCTAGTATTATTATTATTTTTCTTAAAATCAAATTAATTTTTATTAACTTTAAAGTAGGTGATCTATCTCCTGTACAATATTCTCACTGAAATAAAAACATATTTTTATGTTATATTTTTTCAGCATTTTTTTTTCCTCTAAATCCTCAATATGAAAATAAAAATGTTCATGTGCATTTGTGGCTGTAAATTCTTCCACATTCCTCCCAGGGAGATGAGGTCTGTGCTCCCTTGTTTTGAACCCAGAGAGGGTTTTTTTTTTTTTGACCACTTTGACTGATAAAATAAGGCAGAAGTGCTGTTGTGTTGGTATCTAAGCTCAGGGGTTAAGAAGCTGGCAGCTTCTACTTTCTGTCTCTTGGCACACTCTCCATGGGATCCCTGAGGTGTCCTATGAGAACTGTGAGTATCTTGAGACTGCCATGCAAGACAGGCCCTAAATGAGGCTCCCAGCTGACCGTCCCAGTGAGACCAGCCTTCCAACATTCCCATCAGAACAACAGAAATGTAAGGCCCTAAATGAGGCTCCCAGCTGACCGTCCCAGTGAGACCAGCCTTCCAACATTCCCATCAGAACACCAGAAATGTAAGGCCCTAAATGAGGCTCCCAGCTGACCGTCCCAGTGAGACCAGCCTTCCAACATTCCCATCAGAACACCAGAAACGTAAGACTGTCTTGCGCATCCTAGACCAGCTCATCTGTCAGCGGAAGACCAGTGAGAGACCTCAAGCGACATCACATTGAGCAAGAGAACCAGCCAGCCAAGCCCTGCCTTAATTCTTAACCCACAAATTGTGAGATATGATAAAATGCTGGTCATTTGTTCTTTCTCAGTTTGTTAGGCAGCAACAGACAACAGAAATAACATATTTTTATAAATCTTCTGTGCCAACAATGCAAGGTACCCTACTTTGAGAATCACCCAAATAATGAATAAATGATAGCAGAAATAATGAGCTCACAAAATTTGGGAGACACAACCTAATGGTTGACATAGGGAAAGGGTTCACTCAAGGTACGCTGTTTCTGACAAGGTGGTTAGTCTCCTTGTTGTTATTTATATTCTGAGAACCTTACCATCTTATAGGAGTCCACTTGGAGAGTGGTTTGGGGAAACTTAAAATAGTGAGATACAGAAAGAAGCAATCTGTGGGGTCTTTATCTACTCTCAAGGCTTCTGTCATCCTACTGCCATAACTCTTAGCACACATCTGAAACTGCAAAGAGGGTATCACTGGGTCTGCAAATCCACGTTTTAGTGAGCTAACCACAGCTTTTGAGATTGAGGGGATACAATTATTTACTTATTTATTTTTCGCAAAAACATACCCAGAGAAGTAATTAGACTAAAGACTTGGCTAATCTTCTCTGGGAAACCTGAGATGGTATTTAAAACATTAAATCCATCAACTCTATTCTACTTGTTTTAGAGGAATTTAAGTTCATTAGACAGACAGTCATTAACTCAAAATGCAGAAAGGGCTCTACAAAAAGCAACATTATGGGTAACTTTACATCTGATCTGATGAAATATACACATAACATATGCCTTTAAAAACTGTACTTAGACATGGTCTTTCTGCTCTTAAGCGGGCAATGATGATGTCTTTCAGCAACAGCAAACATTTCCATGCAGACTGAAGGAGCCCAATTTACACCTTTTGTTTTGATTCTAGTACCATTCAAGCAGTGTGAATGGAGTTTAATTTATAGCTCCCTTTGAAGTGTGAACAATATGAATTTTGCTCTCTTTATCCACAGAAGATTTCTCAAGGTGTCTCCTTGTAGGGTTCACCAATATATACCTACTATCTAGTTACCAGCTTTTACCTTTTCCCTGATGGATTTCACAGATATAAATACTTACGCACACACAGATACTTTAACTTTAAAAATGTGACTGTATTATCTGTTTGTAATCTGCTTTTATTTTCTTAGCAACAAATTGTGGAGATTTTTCTATGTCTCACATATTTTCTTACAACCTGACTTTTAATGGCTGTACAGTGTTCAATTCTGTAGCTATGTCATAATTTATTTAATGTGGTAAGTTTTCAGAACATAAAAAGTTACCACTGTATTGTACTATAGCAAAGTAAAGATACTACTGTAGTTTATGCTATTATGACTGGAAAACAACACCCTTTCTATTAGAGCTGAAAATAAAATGAAAAAAAGGAAACTTTTTCTTCCATGGTTGCTGTAAAACACAAAAACTGTAAGAAAATAGATTACATGCTGATACAAGGATTGGGTGAGAGTTAGTGCTGCCGTCTTGGTCAACATTTGGGCAGGGGACAAAGACAGGAATTTGGTAATGGGTTAGCTGGATAGATGGGGGACTGACATGGACCATTAAAAACCACAGAAGATGTGAACATTCTCACTTTGGATGATAGTTTATTTTTGTTTATGCCAAACTTTTACTGCTGGTTACTGGCAAATGACAATCCCAACTGATCTGCATTTCGTTTTCTTTAAGCCCTCTGACAGACACTCTATGGAAAAATTAACTAGTTCCTAAGCAGACTTTTCTAAAGATCCGGACTGAATAATAAAGTTGTAATTAATTTTCAGATCATTCTGTAAAACAGAATCTCTTACAGAATATCAGATCTTACCTAGTATCTCTTGCCAGAGCAGAAGGCAATCCGAAATAGAGAGAAGAGACTGACAATTTAAAAAGAAATTCAAGAACCATTTGATGCACCCTCTGCAAACTGGGGCCAGAATGAAAGTACCTATTTTTTCAAATAGCCAGCTTGACTGTACCTCAAATGAAGGCCATTGTTTTCCTGTCATTCTGGGTTAGACAGAATGCGCATTACAGTCATAATAATAGAACAAAACTCTTTTTCAGAATTGCCCATTCTCCTCTCCTTTGTGGCCGTGTCAACTGTGGCAGCTTAATCCTACCTGCCCCATTACCTGTCCTCTCTCCATGGTGAGAGGGCAGAATCAAAGATGCATGCAAAGAATTACAAAGAGCAAAGCTCGACTTGACTATCGCTGGGAACAGTGCAAGGAAAATTCTATACCTGCCCATGCTGAAGGGAGAACAAGGAGGAAGAGAAACCGGAACTTACTTTCCTAACGCAAAGCATTCCAGCTTCACCGTTGCTCCCTTTGCAGTCGGGACTGTTTCTGGGAACTGCACTTCTATTTTGGGCTCATATTCGCCCATCACCCCTGTGAATAAACAAACGGGTTAAGTCTTGGAGGTTCTTTTCAAATGTACAGAAGCATTTTTCTGTTAATGTGGGATGCTGCTATATAACATTATGTGCACAATTAATTCCTTCTCTTAAAGCAGTTCCTATCTTTAATGGCCATGAATTATGGTTCTTCTTTCAGTTACTGCCAGAGAAAATTTGTGTCACAGTGCAACACCATCTGCCTAGGATTAAATTCTTCATGCATACAACTTCACGTCTCAAAAATATTTTTTAAGGTAGTTGTAGGAAAAAAAAAAAAAAAAAGAAGAGAATACAGTCCTCATTACCAGGAAAATCAAATAAATTATCTTCTTGGAAGTATACTGCAGAAAAACCTATAATATTTTAAAGTACTTTTAAAAATACTTGCATGTTTTATTATGTCTATATTTTTAAAAAAGCAAACAATTTTTCTGAGTAATCATTCTGTAGCCACAACTTTTACTTTCATTTCCAAGGCCAAATTGAATCAGGCATAAATTAGTATGTGCGAGGTAACATCACATGCCTGTATTTTTATTATATTTTGGACTAATGAAAAATTAATAATAGGAAATAACTCTATAAAACAACCTTTAAGTTCTACCTACCTTGCCAATTACATACTTACCTTAAGGGTCATATTCTCCCACTTTTTTCATAACCTGGAAAATGACTGTACACTTATGGCCAAGGAAAAAGCCTAATAAACCAAGTCCATGTTTTACACCTAAATACTTATCAATTATTTCTGATCAATACATTCCTGACCCCATCTACCACTGCTCTGATTGTTTTAATACATTTATTTCTATTCTGTCTCCGGTCGTTTTCTATGATCCCTGATTCAACCAGGCCAAAAAGGCTTTGGAATTATCCAGCTTAATACATAAAAAGACAGGACTCTCCATTTCATTTCCTTTAGGCTTCCCATAGCCAGAGGAGAAAGAGACTGAACCTTAGAAGAAAAGGTCAAAAACAAGGAATGGATGGGGACAGGCACAATAACAAAGAGAAATGATTTCAGTCTTTTAGTAGAGGTGACCCTTTACATCTGCCATTCCAGAGTTTGTGGGGCATCAAGAAGATCTCCCCAAACTGCGGTGGGAAAAAAAGTATCAACCCTGAGTGTCAGACGACCTACAGTCTAGCTGGGTTTCTTGTGAAGTATTGTCGTCAAAAGTACAAGCTTGAACAAAATTGGTTTTTGCATTTTCATTTATTTTTTTTCCCTTTCCTGGAATGACAGAAGGGGTATTGGATTTGGAAGGGAGCTTTAATGTAATTTATTTCAGCGTCCCTGTTAATCCTGGTCCTAGTGTCCTAATGGATGCGAGCTTTTCTAAAGAGAAGACCCATAGTTAGCAACCTATTCTCAAAGCAATGGTTATGGCTCAAAAGGTTAAAATCACAGTTCTTTACCCATCCCTTCCTTTCACCAGCAAGGCTGTCATCTCAAAGGAGACGAACAGCTTATCTTTAGTCCCACAGAACAACTAGCTAGGTTGAAACTCAGACCCCTGACTCCTTGCCTTAATCTTTCACTATGGCCTCTCACCACTGCAATGAGTAACACTACAAAACTAGATTAAAATACACGGCATCCATGCCCGACATGTTCAGAAAGAAAATTATTCCTCCTTTCTTGGCCAGCCTCTGCCCTCTGAGTTCTCTTGCACCTAAGGTGGGGTTTGCCTTGCTTTGAGCATTTGCACAAAGCCGGCCTGGGAGTGATGCAGTGTGTGCTAACAATGGTGTTCACACGCAGCTGCTGAACTTGCTAACAAACAGCCCATATCGTTGAATCATCCTCCCATAAATATCAGTAGTATGACTCTGAGCACAGTGAGCGAGTTAACACCTTTTAGTGCTATGTATGTGGCTGCATACTCTGAGAGCAGCGTTAATTAAAAAAAGGAATTGCCTTGAGAGAGAGAGGTCTTTCATCCTCCCAGGAAATCACGATAGTCTGCATTGCAGTGTATCAGGTATCGAAGGGAGTTAAGACAATAAGATTAAAATACAAGGGGCAAGTACATCTTAGAAGCGATCAGGTTTTTCTCCAGCCTCCTTCTTTCTGGAAACATTACTTATAAATCGTATTTCTTTAATCTCGTCATGGAAATTGCCCCCAAGGAGCAAATATATCCCTGCACAACCTTGTTCTGAGGAACTGAAATACCACTGGCAATGCAGAGATGCAATGTCCCAGATCCCTGAAGTGTCATCTCCTCATCCTAAAACCCTACCTACGAAGGCCCAGACTGAAAGTCCACTTTCCCAGGGTCCTTTACCTGCTTACTGCCTTCCACTCTCCTCTGTATGCCCTGCTGTCTAGCCCATGGTGGTCTTTAAATGACCAGAAAGGATCAAAACCTCTACTGTTTCAGTCTCACTATTTCCCATTATATATATATTTTTTTTTTAAAAAAACAAGGTTTTTGAGGTAGAATTTACATATCAAAAAGAAAAAATTTTAAGTGTACAATGCAATGATTTTTAGCAAATTTGCTGAGTTGTGCAAACATCACCATAATCCAGTTTTAGAGCATTTCCATCACCCCAAAAAGATCCCTCCTGCTCGTTTACAGTTTTAATCCCTGTTACCAGTCCCAGCCCCAGGCCGCCTCTGATCTGCTTTCTGTCTGTATGCATTTGCTCTTTCTGGATATTTCCTATAAATCAAACCATACGATATTAGTCTTTTTTGTCTAGCTTCTTTCGCTTGACATAATGTTTGCAAAGTGCATCCACATTGTAGCACAGACTAGTCGTTTGTTCCTTTTCATTGCAAGATAGTGTTCCACTGTGTGGATATACCACATTTTATTTAACTATTCGCTGGTTGCATTAGTTTTTTAGGGATGCCCGTAACAAAAGTACCACAAACTGACCTTAAGCAAAAGAAACCGATTCTATCACAGTTCCAGAGGGTAGAAATCATAAACAAAGGTGTTGAGATGGCCATGCTCTCTCCTGGACTTGGGGAGAACCTTTTTTTATGCCTCCTTCTGCCTTCCGGTGGTAGCTGTCAATAATCCTTCATGTTTCTTGGCTTGCGGCCATGTCACTTCATTTCTGCCTGTCATCACATGGCATTCTCTCTGTGTGTCTCAGACCACTGTCTTCCTGGAAAAACACTAGTCCTATCGGTGTAAGGGCCTGTCCTACTGCCCTGTGATCTCTTCTTCGCTAATTACACCTGCAGTTACTCTACTCCAAATAAGGTCCCATTCTGGGGCACTGTGTGTCAGGGCTTCAACTTATCTTTTTGGGGGACACAGTTCGACCCTTAACACCAGTTGACTTGCCGAGTTAGGGTGGCTTCTACTTTTAGCTATTACCACTGATTCTTCTGTGAAGATTTACATGCAGGTCTTTGTGTGGACATGTTTTTACTTCTCTTGTGTTTCCCGTAACTTTTACATGGATGGCTCTTTCTCATGCTTCATGCCTCAGCTCAAATGATGCCGCCTGAGGGTAGTATTTTCTGATCACCCTATCTAAAATAGGTCCCTGCTGTTTATTCTCTATTAACATCTTGTTTCCTTCATGGTACTTATCAAAATTAATAATCCTCTTGTTTGTTCATGTGTTTGGTGTTTGTTTTCCATATAGATGGCAAAACCTATAATACCAAATAGTGTGTCTTTTTCATAGTTGTATTCTTAACTTCTCTTGCGGTCCCTTCACTTACTAGATATTTGGTAATAAACTACTGACATAAAACATTGTACATAAAAACTTCAAGGAAACTCTTGAATACCATTACCTTTTCTATCATCTTTTTGAAAATTTTTGTTTTGTTTTTATTTCAGAATATTACGGGGGTACAAACACTTTGGTTGCATATATTGCCTTTGCACCTCCTGAGTCAGAGTTATAAGTGTGCCCATCCACCAGAGAGTGAGAACACACCACACACATTATGTGTGAATGTACCCATTGCCTCCTCCGCCCTCCCACCTGCCCGACACCCAAAAGATTCAATGCAACCCCTATTAAAATGCCAACATCATTTTTCACAGATCAAGAAAAAATAATTCTGTACTTCATATGAAACCAGAGAAGACCCCATATAGCCAAAGCAACCTTAAGCAAACAGGACAAATTGGGGGGCATCAATCTACCAGACTTCAAGCTATACTACAAAGCTATAGTAACCGTTTTCTATCATCTTAACAGCTATTTATATACATGACATCTTCTATGTTGTACTCTTACCTGCTTGAGGAATGGAAATCCTTCTGTTTTTTTTTCTATATCCCTCACAAATCCTAGCCCAGTACCAGAACACGGGGAAAAATGTATGAGGAGGAATTTGTGGATGGGAGGAAAAGATATAGGAATATAGGAGGCCTTTATACTATTATATAGTAGCCATTAAGTCAAACATGTATTTCTTTCCATGCATGGATGTCACTTATTAAGTGTCACTGTGGCTTCCAGTACAAGCTCACTCAGTTAAGATCATCTTTTACGAAAATGATGTGTACAGGTTGTTTATCTGGTCACATGGAGTGATTTCTGGGTTGAGATACAGTGAGCCATACTTATGGCTATGGAAATGTGAATAACAGAGTCATCGGTAATAACACAGATTAATCCACATATACAGCAGAAGTTATAGTACATAAAGAGATGGATCAGAGATGGAATGGCCTGGTTTCACTGCTGCTTAAAGAATTTTCATTGTATATAAACACTGTCCTATTATTAAAGCCATAAAAATGAGGGAAGCAATTTTCTTCAACTATATTATGAACATTTTTTTGGAACACATGTGACCTGCTTCATTTAATTTGGTTACATCTGGCATAGGCTATATTGTTATTTTACTATTTTTTTTTTCATTTTAACTATTTTGGCCTTAACTTTCTGTGTTACATTTAAAAGCTGTTGCCTTTTCTGTTTTTTAAGAAACAAAGGGCCCTTAGAACAGTGCATTTTAAAAGTCATTCAGATGACCACCTGTACACTCTTGAAATTAATTGG